AAGTATTTGATGAAATGCCACAATGCAGAAGGTTCAATTTTTCCTACACAAAATAGACACTTTGTTATATGAATTTTAGCTTTAGGTTTGGAATTATTTATTTTTTACAAATGAGAGGCAGAACTATTTGTCCAAAGGCTTTGGTCATAGCCTATTCCTTCAATATGTTCTATTATTGGCATATTATGTGCACACTTCAATTTGCTTATTTTGTAGATGGGACTAAGAAAGAACAAACAAGTGACTATCTCTTCTAGAGTTGCTGGAAAAAGATATAGAATGGGTCAATCATCTACACTATTTAATAGGAACCTCTTTAGAGATGAGCATACCTAACAGATGTATGAGATGATGCAAGCTTGAAACTTCAACTCTAAACGACGAGTGAAACTTAAAGAAGGCGAATACATTGAATTTAATGATGAGATTACTTGAAGAAATTCGAGACAACTTGTAGAACCATGGTCCAAGTTCGATCCTACGTAGTGAAGGAATTTTAGGCTAATGCAAAAGGCATATATGTTGCACCAAATGATGAATAAAGTTGGTTAATCATATACATTTTCACTTTAAGAAACTGAAATAGACATTAATTTTGACAAAAATAATACACCCAAAGAGGTCAAATGTTAATAACATTGACATTCGTAATCCATTACATGTTAAAAGGAAAGGAAGATCGCGTTCACTTCAAAAGGTGTTAACAAGTGAAAAACTTGCAACATGAAGGTCAAAAATTAAAGCAGAACATAGTACAACCACAAATACTGTAAGTGAAATATTCACACTGCATTTTTGCATTACATAACAAATAACATGTTTTTTGGATAGCAAGAATTGAATAGTTAATTAATATGTTTTTTGCCACTACAGGGGAACAATGAAGTAACTTCATCCGACTTATTTAATTCAAGCGTTCATATTGAAACTCATGTTGATTATCGATCATCTGATTGGTTTGTGTAAAACATAAAATTTATTTAATTTTATAGTGCTTGTTCAATCCAATTTGCTTTTATTTTAGGTGTCATTGTGCAATTGTAATGAATTTCAGGGTGGGACTTATATACTATTTATGTAGTATATGTTATGTATTTACTAATCATTAACAGTTCGATTACAAATTACATTTCAACTGCACTCATTAAGCAATCTAGCGATGTTGGTTGAGGAGTGTTTCTTTTGATTCAATATTTTGTTGGCTGGATAATGTCATCATGAAAGTGACTTTTGTCATTATTTTGGTCATAAATGTTGAACAAAAGTATATATGACATTATAGAAAAGTGCAACATTAGCTAGAGCATACCTTGTAATTTTTTTGGATTTTTGGATGTAAATATAACAATATTATGATTATGACACGTATTACAACTTATTAAAAGATGTAAAACAATCAACTTGGTCATGTTAATCCAACCTAGCAAATATGGTTACATCTTTCAGTTTAAATGGTTAACTATCATTATGGTTTTTGTTTTTTTTTTCCTCCAATCAGTTTATCAGCACATTATGCTCCATACCTTTAAGTAACAATCATGGGTTGTATGTTGTGTTTACAAGACGTGTGAAAAAATAACTTGGTTATGTTTTTCATTCCTACTGTATATGATTACCTCTTTCACTTTATTCGGTGTTACAATATTTCTTTACCAAGAACTGCATTACGTAATTGTAGTATAAATAATTGTCGTATAATTAAGGACTTATCAAACAACTAATCAATCACGAATAATTTCAATTTGCAAGTCCCAAAAGAATTTAAACATATGTAATAAGCAAATTGTACAAACTACATTATAACATGAAACTACTTTTTACAAGTGCACATTTAAGTCAAATTTTTGCATTAAAAACTCAGGACTGTATCAACTTGTGATGTAGTTCAAATTGACTTCAACCTCCAAAAAAATGGACTCAAAGATATCAACAAATCTCGCTTGAGCGGCACTTATTTGCTCGAGCAAAATATGACCCGAGAGGAATTCTTCTTTTGGTTGTGATACTCGCTAGAGTGACAGTAGTTCACTAGAGCAAAAACAAGACCAACAGAAGTTCTTATTTTCGTTGTCATTCTCGCTAAAGCGAATAATAGTTGCTTGTTTCTCGCTTAAGCGAGTCCTACCTACCATAAATGGTTACCCCCTCAACTTTATCTGGTTAACTAGACAGGGCGTCTTGTTTTATTCAAATTCTCCGTTTTGTTTTGTTTATATGTTACATTTATTCAATCCAATTATATATAGTTACCTCCTTGACATTATATGGTTAACTGTAAATAACATCTTGTTTTGTTTATCTACAACGTCTATTCAATCCAACCATATATGGTTACTTCCTTGACATTATATGGTTAACTGTCAATGACATTTTATCTCATTTATCCCTGAGTTTACCATATGTGATTACCACCTCAAGTTTATCTGGTTAACTGAAGAGGGCATTTTCTTTTATTCATATGCTAATTTTATTCAATCCAACATATATGGTTGACTGTAAATGACATCTTGTTTTGTTTATTTGCAACGTTTATTCTATCCAACCATATATGGTTACCTCCTTCACATTATATGGTTAACTATCCATGACATTTTGTCTTATTTATCTGCTAAGTTTACCGTATGTGGTTGTCACCTCAAGTTCATCTAGTTAACTAAACAAGGAATTTTATTTTATTCATATGCTAAGTTTATTCAATCCAACATATATAGTTAACTGTAAATGAAGTCTTATTTTGTTTATCTATAACGTTTATTCAATCCAACCATATATGGTTTCCTACTAGACATTAAAAAGAATATCATGAACTTAATTGGTAAGAAAGTATTCATTTTTGAAATATTTTAATTGTTAATAACATGTAATTTATGAATACAAAAATATGACATAATAGTAACCAAATTTCTCACTAAATTCCAACATATTTATGAAGGACTAACCATTTAAGTGTTAATGATTGTGTATGTTAGGTCGTATTAATTATGGCTCATTAAAATGCTTTCAATTGCAAAACAAAGGAACAACTATGTTAACAAATATGTGAAAGAAGAATTTAGTCTCTCTTTTTTTCATACCTTGCATATATGGTTACCCCATTCACTTTACATGGTTAATTGAACATGAGATTTTGGTATTATTCATCTTATGATCAAATTGTCTTACTATGTTTATAGTGAAACATGTCAAAGAACAACTTCTTTTTTTTCTCATACCCATGACATATAGTTAACCAGCTGACTTTATATGATTAATTGCACATGACATTTTGTTTTACTTACCCACATGAACATACATGCTCAGGCGAACAATACAACCAAGGAAGATATAACACTATATAAAGAGTAATGTTCAATATCACATTATTCGAGGCCACAAAATTTAAAATATAAAGGTTTAAAATCAAAACATAAAATATAAATTAATATGTTTCTCAAGACAAAAGAACTAAAGTTAACAAAATAATTCATCTACACATTATCTACTAACACTTATGTGACATTTTTCTTTTCCTTGAATTAGTAGTTCATGGTGTTTTCACCATAAAACTTTTAAACCAAATTCTTAGATGAGTTTTAAGTCAAACATACATATTTAACCCTTCACAATGAAACTTTGATTATTATGTTATTTTAGTATAATGTTTAATGTCCTTCATACTACCTTCAAATACAGGCAAAATAATGGAGGATTTACCTCTTCTCTTGATAGTTTTGCTTCATCTAACCATTCTTGTAATTGTATTACTTCCTCTTCTAGTTTTACAATTGTTTATTCTTATTGTTTGGTTAGGGCAATCAACAATTGATTCTCAGCAATAAATTCAGACAACTAACAACATATTAGTACAATTTTTTCAATTCTTTAGATTTATGGGTGGTATCTGCTAATGCTTCTTTCACTATATTATGAGTAAGATCTTCATTTCTAACACACAAGTCATGAATAACCTATGAA